AGCCACAAACAAGAATTTTAAACTGTTCTCTTCTGGAAAAAAACTGTTTTTTTTTTTTTGTTCCAAGCAACAACGATTACTTATTACAGAATTCTCCCCCACAGGACTCATAATGCAGAATGCTAGGTTTTTGTTGTTTCTCTGCTTAGTTTCAGAAGTAAAACAACAAATAAAACAACCACTTTCTCACACTAAAAGCAAAGTACTGGCCTGGCCAATAATAGGTAAGTGCACCCTTAATATGTTCAGACAAATGAAGATAGCTTGTTTGTTTGTTGGTATAAAAGGGTCTTTAGGAGAAATCATCATACATCCCTTACTATAGCATGGTAACAAAAATTCTGTTCCCTGGTGAAACGTTTTCCCCAATCACAAAAGAGGTACCTGCTGTTGAGGAGTGAAGGCCATTATGTACAGGTAATAAAATATATTTCATGTGAACTGCAAAGGGTAGAAAACGACTTTATGTCTGAGATTCAAACAAAGCACCTTGCTGAATATTAAAGAAAACTGGGACCAGATATTGATGAGTGTAACTAAGCTTTCTGAGAGAAAAACTGCGTTGTAAATGAGTTGTGAAAAGTACAGCTGCAACTCTGTCACCTTAAAAAAAAAGAGGTAAAAGGAGCGTGCCTGTAGTGGCGTAGAGTAGTTGCCTGAATAAAGAGACTCTGCCTATATGATTTTGATTGGGGAATACTTTAAAATTCATGTATGAACTTATCTATCTTCCGATATTTACTGTCTAAAACAATACTCAAAGCTCATGTAACAGTGGGCTGTGTTTCAAAGAGATATTATTAGCACAGAATTGGTCCAAAACCCATCTCCTGAGAGCATTGCTTGCCTGAAACTAAAAACAAGGGAATTGAACATATACATTACTATACATTACACCAATCCTAAGAAATGCCACTTTTTTATTAAATGAAGGATCTTTGAACAATGATGAGGTAAATGTGGTAAATTGCTGATGTATTTAACCTACTGTTGTACCAAACCCCCAGTTGTACTAAACTTGCAATCTACGGATGGTAGCCTTCTAGAGACCCTCAACTTTTTTTCAGTTAAATCTGGTAACTTTTTCTGTTATCTTTATTTTATTACAGTGTACTTAAGTGTATGGAAGATGATATTGTACAATTTCTCAATTTAATTTATTCCTGTAGTTAACACCTGACCAAATAGAACTTCTGATGGAAAAATAGAACTGACAAATAGGAGAATTGTAAGGCAAGATTCTCTGGCACTGACAGTTTACAAATTGATTGTTAGACCATGTTCTCAAAAGTTTGTGTACCCAAAAATTATTAGAAATATTCAGATCTGCATTTAATATATTTACACTACCCAACTCAGTTAGTGTTCCTTCCCGAGTAATGTAAATTCATATTGCTTCTTCAGGTATATGTTCAGATTCTTGCAAAAGCAAAGCCTAGTTGCCTTATTTTATGCTCAGCAAAAAAATATGACATTCAGTACTTTAAGACTTTTTATGAACCTTCAAGTTCAAGATACTAGTATTGGTATCAGGATTATTAGATCTCTACAGTATATTCTGCAAGGGTTTTCAATTCAGAGGAGTGATGTTTGCTGTGGTAATTACTACACAAGTATGGTTTAGGTCCCAGTTTTATTAAAAGGCACCAGTTGTTATAGCAAGCTACCCAGGCTAAAGTTTTGGGCCACAGCTGTACATCTGAACTTATTGATCTCTTTAGTGGAACAGATATTTGGGTTTGCACATATCTAAGAACTTATCTGAGTATGTAGTATTGAATAATGGACCCCTGATAAGTCAACTCAAGGCCAAAAGAGCAGGTTCCCTTAGGAATAATGGGTATTTGGTACATGAAAAGACATATATTAAAATGGCCTGTATTTAAATTGATATGAAACCCTCCTTTTTAAGCACTATAACAGCAGAGGATAGCAAGCTAACAGACTGTCTGGAGACTGTACTTCCCACTGTTAACTCTTCTCTTCAAAGACTGAAAGTTCAGAGAAGCAACACTAAGAAAGCAGGAGTCAGTAGCATTGAAGGGTATAAACTGCAAGTGCTGAGGTAAGAATTTTAACAAATTGCTTACTAGGGAAAGTTTATTTTAATGTGTTCAATGCGTTAAGCTAAAAAAAACACTGAGGGTTTAACACTACTTTAGGAACCCCCTATGGATGGGCGGCTTAGTTTTACCAGATTTCAGTTTTTATAAACTAGCTGTCCAAAATTTCCCACCCATATCCTAAGAATAGGCTGGAAAAGCTAAGTTTCCTTACTTTACTATGTGGGCTACTGGAGTCTGGAGACATGGAGACCCTATGTGATATGTGCTATATGATTTGAGGTATGACAAACCTTTCTAGTCTTCCCACTGTGTTTCTGGGTACAGTACATGAGCTAATTTTAGCTAAATCAGATTTGACCACTTCTCACAGGTTTACTCCCCTCTTGTAAAAGAAACAGCTTATAGAACGTCTTAAGGTATCAGATGTTGAATTATGGAGTGCAAGAGGAGATTATACCTACATCTTATCCTGAATGAGGATGGCATCAAACCCCTTCATCATTTATAAGATTAATTTGCCCTTTATAACTATGTTGTTTTCTCATCTCCATCTGTGTCACGCAATCAGACCACAGATCCCATTGGAAAGTATCAACCTCTACCATCCCTCTGATAGAAATTATCTGTGGTTCCACACCAACCAAATTGATTGCTAATCTTTATAAAATCTTTCTAGCCCCTTAGGCTAATTTCTTGGCACAACACCCTGGATGTTCCTGGGAGAATGATGAGGGGGACCTAGTGGAGGAAATGTGTGATGAGCCCCTGAAGCATGAAAACTCACTCTCTTAAAATGTCTGACAAACTATTACAACTATATGTTCTATAATTGTATTATAGATACCTGTTAAACTTTCTAAATTTATACCTAACTAAAGCCCTCTTTAGTTGATGTTCTCTACCACTAAGGGTACCTCCTTCCACTTACTGTAGACAGAAGTTGTTATGCATAAGTATTTGCAACAAAAAATAGTTTCTGCATGGTTAGAAGGGATCTTTGGTTACACTGAACCACAATTTTTATCTTTGAGGGTCAACCATTTGACCTAAAGCTGAACAATTGTGCCACTGTTTTCCTACTTTTAGCTCATAAACAAATAGCACATATCTGGACCCAAGCCACTCAACCTACTAAGGAATCTTGGTTGTTACAAATTAATACTTTTTTCCCATAGAATAAACCTATCTATAAACAAAGGGACTGCCCTGCCATATGGAAAAAAATATGGGCTCATTGGGTATCCTAGACACCTCTAATACATTAGCTAATCTGCTTTAAATCATGTTACCCTTTATGTCACCTTGCCTATTATTGATCTGTAAATTTACCTTGTAGTTTTATGACAACCTGTTTGACATAGGTAAAATGATGGACAGGAGCCATGATTGTAGCCATTCTTGTTTTTTTTAATTGATATATGGAACATCTATTCCCTTATTCAACTATGCCACTATCTGTGTGTTACCTTGTATATTCAAAGCAATCTTGCAAGGCAGGGCATTGTATCATTGTTGTACTGTTGTAGTTGTTCATTTTAAACATTTCCTTCTGCCCCCTGCTATGTCTGTATCATCTCTATACATCCACTTTTTTTAGAATGTGAAAAGAATTAATAAAGCATTCCCAGCAATAGAAGAATATTAATCATCATTTTTCCTATTGCTTGTTCCTGGAATTTTCACTCTGTTCAAGAGCTATGGCTGCCTGAAAAATCTTTATACCTGACGCTTCTAGGATTGTTAAATATCTGCATCCCCCACTAATCATTGTCATTTAATTTGCCAGCCCCTTGAAAATGTGTTGGATATGATGATTCATAAGGCAGATGTAGCTCTTCAAGAGATTGAAGATTCAAGGAAAGGGAGGCGGGATTTGTTTTTTCAAAAAAAAGTTGTTTAAAAGTTTTCAAATGCACTGTCTAGTATCTGAATGTTATTTCTTCAAAGGGAAGCAACACCAGCTAAAGCATATCATGATCCTTATATGTATAAAGTTTTTCAACAGTATGCCTGAAACTTGCTGGCCAGGTTCACATTGGATGTTCATTAAAGTGGTTGTAACCCTAGAAAAAAAATGTCCCTGTCCTTTTAAGGTATTATATATAGCTTTGTGCTTTTACAGTGTCATATGCCCCTTTCCATGTTCTACAATACCTGGTTGATACTGCTTGTTCCTCTATGTGTACTGACCACTCTAATCATGGCTGCTGGTCCATTATAGCGTGGTCAGTTTATGTCCCTCCATCATTCTGCTCTCTCCTCACCGTGACTGCATCTCCACCTCCCCCCTGTCATTTCCGTAGTCACTGTGTGAAGCCGATCTCCACCCCACCCCTCCCCTCCAGTCTGTGTAATACTGTTCCCGTGCAGCTGCTCCGCCCCTCCTCCATATTAAGTGCAGTATATGTGTGTTTTTTTAATTATAATGCTACATATGGTGATTGTGCGCAATAGAGACATGGACGCTGAACATGACAGCCATCTTGTTAGGTCTCAGCCATGTTGCCTCTCCTCCCTCTTGATTGGAATTTATAGCTGTAAGTTGAACGGAGGTCAAAAGGGCCTCTTCTCCTAAATAAAACACAGCTAGATGAAGCTCCGGGGCAGTAAACCGCTAGTTAGTCTGGTGCCAGGGGTCTGCTTTGAAAACCACTTTCCTCTGCCCGATTGTAAAACAATAACTCAGTCAGTCATGACCTGTTAGGCCATTAGGCTAGAGCGTGTCATAAAACGTACATTCCACATGAGTCATTTTTCATACAATTCATAAAGTTTAGCAGGAACTGGGCACATTAACCACCTCCTGCCCGCCATATAGTCCAATCTCGGGCGCAAGGCGGTTCTCTCAATCTGGGAGGACGTCATATGACGTCCTCCCATTCTCGCATGCACGGCTCCAGGGGTGTGCAGCGCGGCGATCGGCGGTGCGCTGTGTCCCTCAGACACAGCGGATCACCCATCCATGGAAAGAGCCGAAGATGTCGGCTCGGTCATGTGGTCACCTGTGTCCAATCACAGCTGATCACATGTAAACAGGGAAATGCCGGTTATCGGCATTTCTCTCCTCACGAGCTGTCACGCTGACAGCTCGAGAGGAGAGTCAGTAATTGGCATTCCTCAGAGGGGACATGTGCACTAATCATCAGGGCATTGATGATCAGTGTGCCCTGATGATCAGTGTAGCCCCAGCAGTGCCACCTGTCAGTGTCCATCAGTGCCAGCTCTCAGTGCTCATCCATGCCACCTGCCAGTGCCCATCAGTACCACATCAATGCCACATATCAGTGCCTACCAGTGCACATCAATGCCACATATCAGTGCCCATCTGAGCTGCCTTTCAGTGTCACCCATCAATGCCAATCAGTGCCACCTATCAGTGCTGCCAATCAGTGCCAGTCAGTGCTGCCTATCAGTGCCAGTCAGTGCTGCCTATCAGTGTGCATCAGTGTCACCTATCAGTGCCTCTTTATCAGTGCCCATCAGTGCAGCCTATCAGTGCCCATCACTGCAGCCTCATTAGCGCACATCAGTGAAGGAGAAAAATCACTTATTTACAAAATTGTATAACAAAAACTAAGAAAAAACTTTTTTTTCAAAATTTTCAGTGTTTTTTGTTTTATGAAAACATAAGAAACCCAGAGGTGAATAAATACCACCAAAATAAAGCTCTGTCACAAAAAAATTATAAAAATTTTATATGGGTGCAGTGTTGCATGACCGTGCAATTGTCATTCAAAGTGTGACAGCGTTGAAAGCTGGAAATTGGCCTGGGCAGGAAGGGGGTATAAGTGCCCGGTAGGCTAGTGGTTAATATTAGGTATATATTTGGATAGATCATTTTAATATGAGTCAAACAAGGCCATACATGACTATATTGGCACCTAAAAGAAAGAAGTAGCAGTCTCTTTCCTCCTGGGTGATGAGGGTACGCTGTGTTTGGTATCCCTGAGTTTGAAATATAATTCTGAACATTAATCTGCCAGTTACTAGGATGCAGGGACGGACTGACCATTTGGAAACTCGGGCACTGCCCGAGGGCCCGGGGTCAGTAGGGGGCCCTATGAGATGCCCCTGGTACCTTTTTCACAGGCTTTTTTGAGTTTGGGCAAGGACACAGGGGCCCCATGATCCCTATTGCCCGGGGCCCCATGAGTTGTCAGTCCGCCCCTGCTAGGATGCTACCTGTACCTATTGGAGGTTATTAACCTTAGTATGAAATTGGAAGGCGACTTGGTCATAACCTTGGTTACCACCTAACACCCATCCCCAAACTGGATGATTGGTCATTTGTTCTTAGGTGACACCCCTTTAATATGATAGAAAAAGACTGACAGGCCTGGAGAAGACAGCTCTCGTTTAACATCAATCAGGAAACATCTAACAGACTTGAGAGCCAAGGCAACCTTTTTGTTAAGACAATTGGACTCTGCTCAAACCAAGGACATTCTGCCTTTTGAACTCCTTTCTTTTATTTCTTTGTTGTTTTATTGCTCTCTTTATATCTTTGTAACATCTTTTTCTGTAAATATTTTAATTGCACCATTTTGACCTTTTTAGTAATAAATTCTATTTTGAAAAATGTTGAAACTGTCTCTAAAGCTTTTAATGCAAACTGAAGATTCCCTTTCTCTTGAAGAGTGCTACTGTATGTAATAATCCTCTGAATATATCTGTCTGTGGTGACAGTGTGTATTACAGACACTTATACTAATATCATAGTGTTACTGCTAAGATTTCTGAGTTTCCTCCTTCACTGTAAAAAGGTGGTGGTGGCAGTGTGAAGGGTTAATTGTGTAATTAACCTGACCCAGTAACAATCACTGTCAGGCTGCTTGCACATAGATTGTAGTCCCACGAACTGGAAAATCTTTGTGCAGGGCGCAGCTGAGAGAGTGGCATTGTTACACAAGTGACAGCGCGGTCTGGGATTGACTGGTTCTTCGGTCACAAGTTGGTGAGAAGGGCAGATGTTGGGAGCAGCATTCCATCACACTACATACCTTTTTTTGCAATGATGTGTCCTCCCTCTGCTATCTTGCATACATCCAGGGGCGGACTGAAAACTCATGGGGCCCCCGGGCAATAGGGGATAATTGGGCCCCTGTGTCCTCGCCCACACCCAAAAAAGCCTATGAAAAAGACAATGAAAGGTACCAGGGGCATCTCATGGGGCCCCCTACTGACCCCGGGCCCTCGGACAGTGCCCGAGTGCTCAAATGGTCAGTCCGTCCCTGCATACATCAGAAGGGAATCTCAGCACCTCCCACTGTACTCCCTTAGATCAGGAAGAAGAGCACAGGGAGAACACATGATTGCACAGCAGCACTGTGCAAAGGTATTTAGAATTATAATTAAAAAAAAACATATTGAATGTAATATAGACCTAAAACAGAGAGGATAAAAGCGTTTAACCACTGTGATTTTGCAACCACCTTAAGTTGTCTTTTACCATGCCTTTTTCTATTGCTAGTCTCTTGGTCTCTTGTTGTGTTCCTTTTTAATGCTGCTGCCAGATGCGGCTGTACTGAAAACAGAGCTATGTGAAGCTGAGTTCTGGGTGGATAGAAATACAGATCTTTTGGCAGGTAAAACTGCTTCCTTATAAAGGTTTCATTTGAAGTTCAGCTTTACCAGATTCTTTAAATTGTTAAATAATTGAACTGTGATTTTTTTTTTCATATATTTTTGAGATCTTCTTTAAATCATATAACAATGTACATTGCCGCATATTATGTATGTTAAATATTGTTTCCATGAGCCCCTATTACTGTATGTATTGATAGGTCCTGCAACCCTCACTACCATTATACAGACATTGTAGTTTGAATTGCTTTGAGAATACATGATGTAGAATTTATGCTTCTTTCAAAGCCAGGAATAAGAGATATTTTACCTGGAGAAAACTTTGAAGAGAACATGGTGAAACTACACTGCCATTACCCTTCTTCCAAGGTTACAGGGTCTCATCTGGCTTATGTGCTAGCCATAATTAGCATTAGCAGGGTTTGCCCAGCATTATTATGACTGAAAGCATGCTGAGACATTATTTACTGCATAAACCATAGCTCTGTGGGAGCCTTGACTTGAGAACAATTTGTGCCCTTATTTACTCAGATGTGTCAGTTTTATATATTCCTTTTAGGTAGCTTGGTCATTTTACAGTTCTGTCCACATTTAAAGCCTAACTTTTTAAACTAAAGCTGTAATGGGGAAAAAGTATTCATCTAAAAACTGCTTTCGATAAGGCACTACAGAGTTTAACATTATAGCTTTCCTATTTTCCTTTATTAAAACAACGAAAATAAAAAATGTCCCCTGAAGTAGATCCAACATCAATCACAACGCCTGCCGCCATCTCTGACCCGAAAAAAGAAAAAAAAAAAAGCCCCACTCTCAATGCTGGTTCCCGTCGTCTGACAGCTCCGACGGCCTGCCAGTTCCTAAATATCTAAGGGGCAGGGCCATCGGTGATGTCACTGGTGTGACCCCCTTGTAACATCATCGACCCAGCATGCCCCAGCAACGTCACTGGGTGGCCCCACCCCTTAAAAATTTAAGAACAGTTAGCCCGGCAGAGATGTCAGATGACGAGAGCAGAGCTTTTTTTGGGGGGGTTGGCAGTGGTGGCGGGCATCGTGATTGACGTTTGATCTACTACGGGGGACATTTTTTAAATTTTTGTTGTTTTAATAAAGGACTTGTCACAGAATGTCTACTGTCATTTTTTACACTATACTTTTTTTTCGTGAATGAGTAGCGGTACCATGTACCCCATACTCATTCACATGGGGGGTCCAGAATCTGGGGGCCCCTTGTTAAAGGGGGATTCCTGATTTCGATAAGCCCCCCCACCCACAGACCCCACAAACACAGGCTAGGGTTGTGGGGAAGAGGTTCTTGTCCCCATCAACATGGGAACAAGGTTCTTTAGGGGGAGCCCCCGCCCCAAAGCACCCCCCATGTTGAGGGCATGTGGCCTGGTATGGTTCAGGAGGGCGGGCACTTTCTCATCCCCCCCCCACCTTTCCTGACCTGCCGTGCTGCTTGCTTGGATAAGGGTCTGCTATGGATTTTAGGGAGGACCCCACAACTTTTTTTGTAAGCTTTTAATTGCCAACAATTCTTTTTACATTCAGCTTTCAATGGGCAACCCTGCTGACAGCTGAAACATTACCACATGTTTTCACTACTAAAATACCGTATGACTTAATAACTCAGTAAATGCCAACTTTTTGGGGGAAAAATGCTGTGCGGTATCTTACAGAATACTTGGATGAGGTAAGATAATGCTTAGTGAATTGTGCGCTGGGTTCGAAGTTCATGGTTGAACTTTTGTTAGGTCTGAATGTTCGACCATGAACCAAACAGGGGGCTGTTCGGCCCATCACTAGTCATGGGTTTAGTAACACTTTAAGACCTGAGACTGAAAGTGCTATACATACATTCTGCATATTTTCAGATGTCTGGTGTGCCTTTGTTTCTTGAATACTTTGCCCCTAATACCTGAAGACAACCATCTCCTTACCTGTAATCCAAGAGGCAGCATCTCTCCTCTCTTATGCCGTTCTACTGTACACCCTCCCCCCCCCCAATTGTTTGTAAGTCACCTATTTTCTTGCCTGGTATGTCTTTGTTTATTGCATATTTGGTTTTCATTTATCCAGGCCAGCAGTACTAGTAGCAATTTGTCAGATCCATCTGGACTTGTTTTGAAATGTTAGGCAAGTTTTACTGCTTATCCGAGGGGTGTCCCACATGAGACTCACATGAGAGTTAGGAACATTAGGAACATACAGGGCTTTTTTTCAGTGGGAACGTGGGGGAACGCAATTCCGGCACCTCTAGTACTGAATGCATATAATGGCAAAGCGTGCTGAGGTGTGCTGGAGGATCTATTGTTGCTGGGAGGGATCTACTGTTGAGGGAGGGGTCTACTATTGTTGGCTACTGGATGGTCTATTGATGCTGGTTGCTTGGAGATCTTTTGTTGATAATGATGTTAGTCTACTGTTGTTGGAGTGGATCTATTTTTGCCGGAGGGTAGTTTGTTGCAGTGCGGGTCTATCATTGCTGGGGAGATCTATTGTTGAAAGGGGGTGTACTGTTGCTGGCTGCAGAGGATATATCATCAATACCTAATCATTTAGCACCACAAAATGCTACTTGGTCCTGTATTCTCTAAAATGGGGTGGTTCTAAAGGAAGATGAGTAAGGGGTGCAACCAAGGGATGATGCTTGGAGGTGGGTAGGGGCAGAAAACAAGTGGTGACTCAAAAACGAGAGTTCCTGCACCTATTCTCTGAGAAAAAAAGGGGCCCTGGGAGCATACATTGGTATTTATACCCATATACATAACTCAAATCACCTTAATCCAATTGCCATAGTCTCATAAAATAAAATATGTCACAGCAGGTGTTGATTGTAAAGGGATGTGTCACAGCCACTACTAACATAAAACAATATACAGAAATGGAGTAGAACATGGCTGCCAGTGCACATATGTAAAAAAATATGTATTTTTGAACAGTACCTTTTAGGAAAAAATCAATTTCCTCCACTGTGATAGCATTTTCATTTTCCAATTGCTGCATACAGAGAAACAAGAGAGCACAGGCTTGTGTGCTGTGTTCTGGAAGCAGGCTCCTAAAATTGAAAGGATAAAAAAATGTTGATCTGTTTGAAATTATATAATGTATCTGCTCAGTCAACTCTGGTCACATTTATATAAACCTAGTAAAATCATTACATCATGTCTTTGGCACCCTGATCCAAAACCACACTTGGGCGCACATACATCAGTCATCTCTTTTAAATACTGGGAAGCAATTTATACTGTATATAATTGTGCAAGTTATTGCTTAACCTCTTCCCGCCTCCCAGCCTTTACCATGTTCTGAATCCTGGGAGGCGGAGGCAGACATTCTGATCATGTAGCCACTGTGATTGGCAGTCACAGTGGTCACATAATTGGAAAGCTCGCAAGTATGTGCGCTCTCAGCACAGTAATGTGTTTACAAAGGGATATATATATGCTGGTGCTCGGTGTTAAAGCCTACCCACATATATTCGTACAGCTGGCGGGAACTGGTAAAAATGACAGAATCAGAGTTTTTATAGCAAATCGGCAAAATTTAAAAACAACATCTGACAGGTATTCAGAAAGAGTTTGTATTTTGGGCCCCTATTACCACTTTAACTGGATTGACACTTGGCTTTTGTTTGTGTTTCAACTTGTGTCCTTACAAGGCATTTAAAACAGCATCTAACCTATTTCCTGCGAGCCCAGATTGGTTGGAAACTGCCCCTCCTGCCCACTCCTTGTCCCAACCCTGCGTGCACTCAAAATCTGGTGCAGCTGTGCATAGTAGTCAATCAGCTTCTAACCTCAGCTTGTTCAATAGGCGTAAATAACCCCCATTGAATCTCTTCCTTACTCCATCTAAATGGAATAAAATAATTCTCTCTATATATACACTTTAAGTTTAGGACAGAATTTGGAAGAATTTAAACCTGGGTTATTTATTGCTGTTTCTGTAGTCACTGGGGCATTTTTTCTCTGTTGTGTATTAATCAAGAGAGCAAGACCTGAGGGAACAGACAGGATTAAAAAAATATTTAACTTATTTTAAAACTAGAGTAAGGAATGGTTACAATATCTCAGTTGTTTACTGTTCTCTGTGTCTCTGGATATCCGACCCATCACAGTACATACACTGCGGCAGGCTGGCCCATGCAGGCACATGCAGGTGTGTGTGCCTGTTCAGGCTAAGGGGTGCTGGGGTGCGCAAATCACATAATCGCAATGTCAACAAAGTTGTTATAAATAAATTAATTTGTAACAGCTGTGTTTCCTATGCTGTGATTGGCCCACAGCTATCACATGGTATGTGATAATCTGTTGCCAATCAAAGATCACTAATGGTCACAGTTGTAATGAATGTAATCCATTCATGACAAACACTTTGCTGTCACAATGATCTTCATTGTAATAGCAAACAAAGTGTTAAAGACAATCCTGATCACCCCCTCACAGTAGTAAAGTGTTACATTGTTAAATTGTACAGTGTTAAATTGAATGCATTTTTTTAGCATACTGTAACCAGTCAGTCATTTGATGACGATGTACTGCACTGGTGACAGTATATAAAATTAAATTGTGAAAGTTTTTTTTTTTCATTTCTTCATTTTCAAAAAAATTATGACAAAAAATGACAGCTTTAAAAAACGTGCCATACCTCCTACTAAATGCCTCAGACTGTATACTTTCCAAAAATGGGGTCAGCTGGGAAGTAATTGTACTATCCTGACTAGGGGTAGACTGACAACTCATGGGGCCCCCAGGCAATAGGGGATCATGGGGCCCCTGTGTCCTTGCCCAAACTCAAAAAGCCTATATAAAAAGGTACCAGGAGCATCTCATGGGGCCCCCTACTGACCCCGGGCCCTCGGGCAATGCCCGAGTTTCCAAAAGGTCAGTCCGCCCCTGATCCTGACATTTTAAGGCCTCAAGAATTAGCCTCAGTACATCAGGATTGATCAGTTTTCAAATATACTATATATAACATAGTTTCTAGACACTATAACTTTCACACAAACCAAATATACACTTTTTGGGATTTTTCCCCAAAGACTTTTTTGTTTATATTGCAAAAAATAAAAAACTCAGAGGTAATCAAATACCATACCATACCAGATAAAAATATATTTTGCATACCGTATTGCATGATAACGCAATTACCAGTTAAAGTAGCGCAGTGCTGAATATCTAAAAATGCCCTGGATTTTTTGGGGATAAAACCTTCTGAAGGTCACCAGAACAACAAATAGGTAAATTCTTTTCAAAAGGACAAGACAGTAAAACCCACTTGATCCAAAACCAAAAACTGTGTTTGGGTTGGAGTTGGTCCAAAAAAAAGAAACCAGAAATTAGATTATAAACCTGGAGTTATACTTTCAGTAATTAGTATGACAAAACTTTTTACTTAAGAAGCCCCACTGAGGGCCACTGACATAAATTACAGCAATGCCTGTGCTATTTGTTCTAATTGAGGAGATGTCTCACACAAAGGCAAGATATGCTTCTTTGCAAGCTGTTTTTGTTTTTTTGTTTTTTTACTTTTGTTGGGATTTTTTCATATCAATAAGCAGCTGGTAATATAAATCATTTATTTCTTGATTTCTTGGGGGCATCCTGCTAGCTATAGGGCCCCAGGTATCCGTTTGCTGCTAGTGCCATGAATTGTAACTGGTAACTGTCAGTGATGCTACTGTTTTCATCGACTTTTACGAATAAAACTCCTAAGAATACTTTATAATGACAGGTACAGTATAGAACATGTCAAGTGTAAATGTGACTGCAATTTATTTATTGGAGGGTTCTGCAATACTTTTCTTCGAATGCAGCATTTGCCCCTGATACATCACATGGTTTGGGTGGCTAAAAACCTTTCTTTATACATTTCCTTGAAGAGCTGCATGTTTATTAGGCAGTTGTGTCAACTTATCACTGATTGTTTGGCATTTTACCTGGCTCTGTGATTTTCAAAGTGTTTTGTAAATAAAAGAGGCCAATAGCTTCTCTATATATACTACAGACAATGACAGCACTGGAACATATTCAATATTGAATATGGAAAATGTAATTCATGAATATTTTGATCAAACAGCTTTGCCAGAATTTACACAGAATTTTCTTAACAAACAAAGTGCCTTAAGCATTTCTACACAAAAAGATAAAAAAAAGAGTGGTACCCTTTTAGCTCCAGGTTTAACTGTACTGCACATTTCACCAATAGACCTTAGAAACGCACTTAGTTATACACAAGTGAAGAAAAGGCCTTCATGTCTGTGCCAATTGCTGTCCAACTTTGTTAATCAACATGGACATAAAGTCTATTTCCAAAATAAGATGAAAAACACTTTGCTTGATAATTTCCCATTTTCATGAGTAGATACTCACCCCTGGCCTCTACAAAAGACTCTATATCACGTTCATTTTCTAATTTTTTTTTTTTCTTGTCTTGGTTACAATCATTTGAAAGATCTCTATTCACACCACCTAGTTCCTATGCCAATCCAAAATTTAACCTAGAAGTCCATACCCATCAATCTGTAAGCTGGCATCGTTGTAAGTGCACATCCCTCTCCTTTCTTTTTTCTTTTTTCTCTAATTTTCATCTTTTATTTTCCTCTGGGCACTCGTTTCTCTCTCATCCCCACCACCACCAACTCCTCTGCATTACAGGGCTGCAAATAGATATTAGGTTGCATTCACACCTTGTCAACTGTGAGAACCCCAGTGGTAGTTCCTGCAATTATCTGCAAGAGGGCAGCTCCATTTAAAGCAATAGTAAGCTACTGGCTCTCACAGCTACTCCTGCCCACTCACATGTAATCACTCATTCAGCAATCACATGTGAGTGATTGGCCCTGGACACAGACTGCATGTGTCCAAGGCCAATCACTCATAAGTGATCACTGCTTGAGTGATTACTTATAAGTGAATGCAATTAGCTCTGAGAGCTGACAGTTTCCCCATTGCTTTTTTCAATAGGGCTGCCTGCTCACAGCTAGCTCTCTGGGGTTCTTGTAGCTGATCGCAGACAAGGTGCATTCAAAACTGTGAATGCATCTTTAATTAGAAGTAAAAGCTCCAAGTTGTATGTAAACAACCACTGCTAACAGTAAAAAATGTTATCATATGTTCATGGGTATGCTCTGTATTGATAGTTTATTTGTAAAAATAAAATGATAACAAAAAACAAATTCTACATTTTGTGAAAAGAATACACCTTTTTGAATTTTAATGCACAAAAACACAACATATTGCCAAATTGCTTGATAAAATATAACATATGATGTTATGCTGACTAAATAGATACCAAACATGACATGCTTTAAAATTGCTCACGTCCATACAACGGCAACAAACTACATGAATTTTTAATATCGATAGGCGAAGCTTTAAAAGCTTTTACAGGTCACCACTTTATATTTATAAGTTCTAGAATTACTGCCCTCAATCTGACATTCACGGTGATACTTCACATGCATGGTGCAATCTCTGTTTACATACCGACACGGGGCCAATGCTTGCGTTTGCCTTTGCGCGTGAGGACAGGAAAGGGGGGGGGGGGGCACAGGGTTTTTTTTTTTTACACTGTCCCTTTCCTTTTGTTTTTTTACTTCACTTTTATTGTTATCACATGGAATATAAATATCCCGTGTGATAGCAATGGCCAGTGACAGGTACTCTTTTCTGAGAAATCTTTTAGACTCTAGATCTTTTCTCTGCCCTTAAAGCATCTGATCGCACCAAGATCGGTGTGATCAGATGCTTTCCCAATTTAAAAATGGCACTGTTAATATCCAGCATAATGGAAATAATGAAATGCTCATAGCTTCTGGTTTCTTAGACCATAGAGATGATTGGAGCCATTCTGGGCTCCAATCAGCACTATGGTCAGTCAGCCGAACTGCCGATGCATTCTCGGGTTCCCTGGTGGGACAGGAGAGACCAAGAAAACCATGCAGGGCAACGGGATGGGGGATGTCCCTTCTTGCTGCTTGTAAATACGATCCAGCAGATAATTAGCCACTAGGATTGCCTTTACATGAAAGGTGACCGCCATATGAAAAAAACAATACCAGGATGACTACTCAAAGCCCAGCGACATACTAGTGCATTGCTAGTCCTTGTAGGGCATATATGTAGCAGCAGAGAACATGGGCATATGATGAATCGGGTCTGTGGGCCAATATGACTGCAATTAATTCCTTTTTGTAATGCCCATATTGAGGGTTAGGCACAAAAAGTTTTAAATTCAGAAACCGTGATAGGTTTCCATGCGGATTGTCTGTCAAGAGCTGAATTTGGGTGGGTGGTGATCTATTGCTGTGCATATAAATTTCTTTGGCCCACAATCAATTGATACAAATCTTCCATGAAAAACAGCAGAGGGGCTAAATGCTAGTTCTGGTAGCGAATGGGACTGTCCTGCTAACACTGCATTTTTGGGAACATTATACTAAGGAGGCACTAGTATAGTTCTGTTCATGATCAATATATTGATCCATACAAACACTATACTAGTAATGGCGGTGATCAACGACCTATAGCGTGAGTGCGATAGTGTGCGGGCAATCTAATGCTAGCTGACCTTGGCTGGGAGGGGTGCTAACTGACCCTGCCACTATCTGATGTTGCTAGTGGCAGTAATACAGCGATCAGAGAAAAATTCTACAAACTGACACTACTAGTGGCGATAGCTGGGTGATCAAAGGGTTAACAGGGGCGATCAAAGTGTTAAGCTAACATGTGTGTGTGTGGGTGTGTGTGTGTGTGTGTAAAATGTAGTGCTTTCGACAAGGGGGGGCGCTGGCACATACACACCTGTAAATGAAAAGAGATGTAAAGGTATGTTGCTTTGCCCAGAGCCATTGCTCGCATGCAGGTGGTTGGTAAGTGGTTACAAAAAAAAAAAAAAAACTTTTTTTTTATTCTAAATACAGTACTTTATTTTTTCACTTTTTTATTAGTTTTTTTTTTATACTTTTAAATACTTTTATCACAGTAGTAAAATGTTACAATAGTAACATTGTACTTCTCTGGGGGGGGATGGGGGAGTGATCAGAAGCTTACAGGAAAAAAAACCAGGTGAAGATACAGCAATAATAGGGAAAGGCAGCTAAGACAGTAGGGTACAGAAAGCACATTAATATAACTGTAGTCAATCTTTAATATGCTCTATACTAACCATTCAGAGTTCATCTCAGTGTTATTACCTTTTTACATGCTACTGTATACAAGTGCATTTTGCAGTCGATATGTGTTTATTTTAAAAGGTAATTCTCCTCTTGAGTACTATGTAAATGAACACAGTATTAAGGATAAAGCTCATTTTATCCTCTCGTGAGTCGTAGGTATAATATGCCTTAGCCTTTTATTAATATAATGTGTTCCATAAATGAGCATTAAGAGAAAAGATAACATTCATTAACCAGTTTTATAGCACTTTATTGCTCAGATGACTTGATGCACTTAATATAAACATGTACTCCAGTAAGAAGGAGGGAAGGATACAATAATACCACAAATGTAGTATAAAATAATAACCTGGGCATGACATCTTGGTAAGTGACCTAATTTTGTTTACCTAACTATTTATGCATTTTACCATGTGCAAGTAAAGCTAGCCATAGATGGTTTGAATTTTGAATTTCAGCAGGGATCAGCTAAGATTCGAACCATCTATGGGCAGGCTGATTGTACCCAATTTGATTGTTGCATGACTTGGAGACAACCAGTCTGTCGAATTTTTTCATAATTTATTGATTATTATTAGTGATTATTGCTATAGCATTTTTACTACCGTGATAGGTTGCTACCTGTGCAATAAGTCCATTGTGAAATTTCCTCTCTACTAAATATTCCGTGGTCAACTGTTAGTGGTAATATAACAAAGTGCTAGCAATTATGAACAACAACAACTCAGCCATGAAGTGGTAGGTCACGTAAAATGACAGATCGAGTTCAGCGCATGCTGAAGCGCACAGTGT